AGCTGTGATGGGTGTAAGAGTGGATTGCAGCTGGGAAGCGCTTGGCTGGGCAGGCTGCTCCCCCAGCAGCTGCCTGGCAGCATGAGGTGCTCCGAATTGCCAACCTGGTTCAAGCCAACAGTCCATCTTGTGCTCTGGTCCCCCCAGGGTGCTGCTCGCTGCTTCAGGAGAGGATGGTGATAGCTCAGAGTGGGAGACCATCCTCCAGCAGACCTCTCCCTTGCCGGCAAGGTGAAGGTACAAGAACCTTCAGACTTTATCCACAGTGCTGTGCATGAGTGGAAGTGCTACCACCCCCATCCATTCTGCCACTCTAACATAGAAGACTTCTCAAGTGGTGTAAAAGGACCTGGGTGGAGGCACCCTTCTCCCTTCCAATGGTGGCCCTTCCACAGGGTCTGCCCTCAGCACACGATCGTGGGATATTAAAGATTACATAAAATGTAAAATATTCACTGTGTAGAGCAGCCCTTGTGCCTACACAGGAGCTTTGTTGTGGGAATGCCAGGCAGGGTCACCAGCCACCCAGGCAGCCTGTTGCAGCCTAACCCTGTGCTTGAACAACATCTCTCTGACCTCTCCCTAGCCCCGGTCTGCCTGGTCTGGCTGAGCTGTCACAAGGACCCTGGGCTGGTGCTATCAGTGTCCCCAGCCTGGTGACCTCTGGATTACCTTCCTCTCCAAGCAGCATCTATCACCCACCAAATGGCAGTTGCACGCCTGGCTTCTCACATCTCCTCTGCAGCCAATGGGTTCTGCTGAGTGGAGCAAAAAACTCCATCGAAATGATGGAAAGGGATAATTTAGTGTGAGATACTTGAACTGAAGTGGCATCCAAAACAAGTGGAATGCTTAGCAAGCAAAAACACATGCTGTCCCTGTCCCGGGAAAATAACCATCTAATGAGACAAAGCATGGGGGAGTCAAGTAATTAGAGTGGGAGAGGCTTTAGTTTGCAGCTGGTCTGTGTATGAAAGGTATTTGATTCCCATCCCCTTCATCTTCCTTTCTAGATTTATCCCTCACGCCTCCCTTCCCCATCAATTACAGCTTTTCTCCCATGTCCTGTCCTATCCCAACCTCCAGCTTCCTCCCAGCGGGTGAGAGCTGCTCACTAATGAGACAAGAGAAGGAGATAAATGGCCAAGGCCCGCCCCAAGCAGTGTGTGCCATCACCCAAAAAGGAGTCAGGGAGGCCATAAAGCCTGCAGGGGCTTTCTCTTTGCCTGTTTGTTTTTTCATGGAGGAAGTGAGGAGGGAAAGATGCAGTTTATTGGTCACAATGATTAGTTTCTGGATCAGAGTAAACCCCATTGATCTATGGGTAGCAGGTAAGTGTGGAGGTTGTGACCATGCTTTGCACTTCCACAACTCCCTTTCTCTGAGGAACTCAGCCTTCACAACATGGCCAGTAACGCAACTGCCCCAGGCAAAGGCCAAGCTTTGAAGTCCTCATGGTAAATCCCAAGCTCTACTTCAATGATACGACTTGAAAGTCTGTTCCACTGCAAATTTCATGCTAAACTTGGAGGGGCAAAACACTAGTGATCCTGGTGAGAACTGGGAGGCAAAACTGAGGAGACACACACAGAACATTTGGCACCCCAATAAGAACCCAGCCAGCTTCACTCAGTCTGCTCCTGCTGTTCGGAGGTAGCATTCAATATGCTGCATGCTCAACAAACCCCACTTCTCCACCTCCTCATCTGGTGTGATACATTGAAGAGAGTGCTGGAAACTCAAGTAGATGTTCCTCCATGAAGAGGAACTACTTACTGCTAAAATCTTGCCATTCAGCCGTCAAGTAGCCCTTGAAATGGATGCTCAAAGTTGCCCTGAGCCCCCATGACAGGTCAGGAAGGAGGTCCTTGTTACACCTTAATAATGATTTTTCAATCTTTCTCCCTATGCAGGGCCAGTGGAGAACAAAAACGAAGCAGCCATGTCTGAGCTGGTCCCAGAGCCACGACAAAAACCAGTCGTACCAATGAAACCTATGGGCATAAACGCCAACTTGCTGGGCTACATTGGTATTGACACCATCATTGAGCAGATGCGCAAGAAAACGATGAAGACAGGTTTCGACTTCAACATCATGGTTGTAGGTAGGCAGGCACCGGCTGAGATACTGGGGACCATGGTCAGGGACTGTCCTGTGGGGCCAAGGGGGAAAGCGAACCTTGCAGAGGGGGCTTGCTCCAGGGAAAAGGAGAGCCTGCACAAGGCACGGAGACACCTATAGCCCCTTCCCCTGCCTGCCTGGCTCTATCCCCTAGTCCTGTTGCCATAGGCGGGCTGCGGCACATGTCATAGGCTTCCTCTTTGCAATCCTCAGGTCAGAGTGGACTGGGAAAATCGACGCTGGTGAACACCCTCTTCAAATCCCAGGTGAGCCGCAAATCTTCAGGATGGAACCGGGAGGAGAAAATCCCCAAGACGGTGGAGATCAAAGCCATTGGGCATGGTAAGAGCCAGGCTGCTGGGGTGGCGCAATACTGATGCTTCAGCACAGTCTTGCAGAAGATACCAGTAGTTTATGCAAACAGTTCTTTGGTATTAGGCAGCCCTTTCTCCATGGGAAGCTAAAGGACAAGTGTCAATTTTAGATGCCCTCAGATCCAGCCAAGGCTTTTCTTCAACAGCGATGCCACTGATGTCACAGCCAAAAGTGAGGGGTAGAAAAGAGTTACAGATGTTCTGCCAAGACATTAGTCTACATGTGTGGATTAAGCCCTGCTGACAAACACCTGCAGACACTTAATAACCAATACAAATTACATTAGTGGGTCCCATCCCAAGTTTGGTGGAGTACATCTCCTCATGGCAAAGCTTCTACAGTGGCGCAGAGTAATGTGCATCATCTCAGATTCAGGATGGGGAGGACAAGTTGTGTAAGATAGGTACTAGCTCTGGGCCACAAACAGCACAAAGCTATTTTCTTGTGGCAGGGTGGTATAAGGTGGCTTTGGTGCAGAGGTCAGCAAAATTTGGTGTCAGAAATGCAAGTGGGGGTCACCACTGTTGAGGCATGACCTAGCCTGGCCTGATCATGCTTGCTAAGCAGGGATGAGGGCAGAGCACTCTTTTTCCCTTGTAGCATACAGACACATGTTTCATGATAGAGCAGTGTCCTGGAGGCTTACTGATTGTTCGCAATTTCTTCCCCAGTCATTGAAGAAGGTGGTGTCAAAATGAAGCTGACAGTGATCGACACGCCAGGATTTGGGGACCAGATCAACAATGAGAACTGGTGAGTTTTACATTGCCAAGGCCTTGTAAAGTCCCAGAAAGGGCTGGGGTTAAGGTGATATATGGAAAGACTGTCATCTCCTACAGCCTGGAAAGCATCTGGGATGCTATCGCACTCAGGGGGCTGGTACTGGGGACATGGAACTGTGAACACCTGGGGTCTGTGTGCATGCTTGGGGGTATGCACACATTACACAGCAAGTGCCTATTTCTGTGCCCAGTTACAGAAACTCTTCAACATCTCAGCTGATGGTGAGATGCTTGTGGTGGGTATTTTTTATGACTGAGTGTATTTTGCTGCTGTCAAAGCCGGGAACACTGTAGGCAGGAACATGTGGAGATTTGTACCTGTCTATTCATCTCTCTCTCCCACCTTAACAGCTGGGAGCCTATTGAGAAATACATCAATGAGCAATATGAAAAATTTCTGAAAGAGGAGGTGAATATTGCAAGGAAGAAACGAATTCCAGACACGCGAGTGCACTGCTGCCTCTACTTCATCTCCCCCACAGGCCACTCGTATGTACACAGTCCCTTGTCCTTCCTCAAGCTCTTGGTGCCTCTGTGCCAGATATACCCTGCACTGCTCCATCTCAGGCCCAGGGGTCCTGCCTGTGGAGCTGGCCTCTGTTTAGCTTAATTTTGGGTGCTGTGGGGCTTGGAAGAGTCCAGGATAACAAGGGCAAGAGAAACACCACTGGTTTTGGGAGATGGCAGGATGGATAGGAGGAAGGAGTTGAAAACATGGTGGTGGCAAGCGGGGTAGGTACAAGGGGGGCTTAATTGATGCCCTGGTGCTGGGAGAGTCACTAGAATGAAAAGGGAGGAGGGTAAAGTGACCCCTTCCATATTGTTCCCCCTTGGGCTGCAGCCTGCGGCCTTTGGACCTGGAATTCATGAAGCATCTCAGCAAAGTAGTGAACATCATCCCGGTTATTGCCAAGGCTGACACCATGACCTTGGAGGAGAAGACTGAATTCAAACAAAGAGTGAGTATCTCCTCTCCTGCATGGCATCCTTCCCTGCCCTGGCTTTAAGGTGGAAGAAATGCATACTATCATAGAACCATAGAATAGTTAGGGTTGGAAAGGACCTTAAGATCATCTAGTTCCAACCCCCATCATCTAGTTCTAACCCCTGATCCTTCCAGTCCTTCTTCCTGGGATTGCAGCACAGTCACCAGGGCATGTGCAGAGTCCAGTCCTGGGTTGGTGGGTAAGTCCTGAAGATGCAGCTGTTTGCGACTCTAAAGGCATCTGTTAGAGGGGGAAGAAACGTGTGTATCCCTGTGACATCTTGTGATATGCTCTGTCACGGGAACTGCAGAGCCAGACAGGTAACTGGGGTTGGGGAAGAATGGTTCATCACTGCTGCTGTGTGTCCTCACTTTGCTGCACAGCCCCCAGGGACAATTCCTCCAGCCCCTGCCTACTGGAAGGTTGTCCCAGATGTGTTTGCCCAGCCACCCCACCTGCCTTTCCCTCAGGTTTGTGTTGCTTTGTGGTCCAAGATGTTTCTCTGCTCAGGTGCGCAAAGAGCTAGAAGTAAATGGGATCGAGTTTTACCCCCAGAAAGAATTCGATGAGGACTTGGAGGATAAAACAGAGAACGACAAAATCAGGGTAGGAAACATTTTATCGTGGGAGTGGAAGGTGGCATGAGGGCTGGTCATGAGTGTAAAATGGATGTGTGTAACTAAAGGTTTTTAAGTGCTTCATGGTTCATGGATGAAAGATGCAATGGATGTAAGGGACCTTCTGGTCAGCTAAAGGAGACAAGCTCCTTTGGATGAGCCTCCCATTCCTCAGTAGTCCACACTTCTAGTCACTTTTTTCTGTGCCTGTTCCAGTTTGATTTGATTTTCTAGCACTGGTGCTGGTACCCGATGCTCCCCTGGCTCTCCTGAGATCTGAACTGCTAAGGTCATGGACCACATGTGCTTTTTAAACAATTGCATCACACTGGTGGCTCATGGTCATTTTGTATCTGACTAGCACATGGGGTCCTTCCACTCCTTCAGTCACTACTTGTTCATGAGCTCTGAAGTTGTAGCAGAAGCTCTGTTTTTATTCCCTAAATGTTACTCTTTGTGCCTCAAACTTGTATCTTCCCATATAACAAACCAAGCTGCTTTTGTACTGGCAACACCTCTTGGCCTTGTGATGCTAGTGCATTTAATTATCCCACCCATCATTTTTGTAGCTAGGCTATTAATGAAAATAGATTTGCCTCTACAGCAGTCCTCAAGAAACTCTTGTACTGCTGCCTGACACATGCCCTTTCAACTGCCCCAGCTGTCACAGCCCCAACAGAAATTCCCACCTTCCTCATCTTAATCATTTCCCATTTGGCAATACATTACACATTCTGGAGAAGACTAGATGGGTTTTGCTTCTTCCCCAAACTGTTACTGGTTTTGAGGAGAGCACCAGATTTTGTTCTGCACTTCAGCATCATGCGTAAGAAATAAACTGCTTTTTAATCTCCGTTCCTTTGGTAACTGCAGTCCCTTCCCAGGCCCAGGGATATCTATAAAGCAGAGCAAATCTATGAACATCTGCACATCCTTATGAATAGCAGCATCTCAAGCACCCATGTTCTGGAAACAGACGGTTTCTCCCTGTGCTTAGAGATATGTGGGTCACCAATAGCCTCACCTACTGTCCCACTTCCCAGGAAAGCTGCACATGCCCCCATTTCTGGTCTTCCTCAGTACAACCATTTCAGTCATTAAACTTGTTTCTTGTGTCTTGCTGGGGAGGATTATTTTGAGTTATCTCCTTCTTCTGGTGAAGAACTACAACCTGGGTGGGAAACACAGCACACTACCTACATGAGTAGCCCTGGGCTGACAGACCCTCATAAGAAGTACCAGCCAAGGTACTTCTTATCTGGTCATCCCCTTCTTCAGAAATACTGGAGATGGGAAGTAGAAAAGCTCTTCACCTCCACACCAGAGCCTTTGCACTGCTGCAAACTACCCACTAAGCTTGGGTGGTGCAACGGTAAAGAGGACAGCCAGTGAAGTTGTCCTGGAGAAACTCTTCTTTTGGAAAAGGCCTTATGTTTGGTGAGATAAGAGGAAGAAAGGTGGATGGGGAACAATGACTGTGCTGCTCTCTGGAATAGGTTCAATAGGTCTCTCCACATGTCTCTCCCCAGCAGGAAAGCATGCCCTTTGCAGTAGTGGGCAGTGACAAGGAGTACCAAGTGAATGGCAAAAGAGTCCTGGGCAGGAAAACACCTTGGGGAATCATTGAAGGTAAAAAAATCCCTCGTTTCTGGGAGCTGAAAGTATCTCTGCAGGCCCCAGTAATAAACCAGGGCCCAGAAAACACGTCCCATGGCCACCTTCCCATCCCTTTTGTGATAAACTTTTTGAAACCAAGCAGGAGGAGAATTCTTAAATAGCTCTTCTGGGAGGGAACTGCCATGGTCAATGTGGTACCACTGCTGCCAAGCGGCAGAAGCTGGAGCCAGTCTGAACAGCACTGTGTGCGAGGCTGAGCTTCTAAGGCTGCCTTGGTTTTCAAATACAATTATACACGTGACTGCCCAGCACCTCTTACCATGTCTCCTCAGTGCCTGACTGTGTCTTTCAGACAGCTGTCTGTCCCTTCTGAAGTATGCAGGCTCTGCCCACCCAGCACCTGCTCCATGGCAATGTCCTTCCCATGCTCTGTAACCACAAAGGGGTTGTTGGAAAAAGTCAAACATAACAATTGCTTGCTTTCTTTTCAGTGGAAAACCTCACTCACTGTGAATTTGCCCTACTTCGAGATTTTGTCATCAGGTAAGGCCATGGTCCTTCCTGAGACCCTCTTAGAGTGAAATGCCCCTGTGGAAAGGAAAATAGAGTACATTTCAGGCAGCGAAGACTTATGTGGGGTAGGGTTGGATTGAGTTAAGGGCTGGATGCTCTGATGCTCTAATGCCTCTCTTGGTGACATGACCACTACGTGAAGTAGGTGCTAGGTTTCATGTATGAACTGGATGCCTAGAGAAAATCAGGGTCCTACCACCCCCCTTATATCCCATTAAGGATATTAGGTTGAAAGAGCTTCTGTTTGTTGCTGATAGTGGGTTTGGGGTGGAGTCAGTGAAAAAGAGGCCACTACCACATCCTAGGCCATGTGTCCTACCAGACTGAGGGATGTGCTGGAACATATGACCTGGAAATGAAAAGCTCCATATTTCATTCATCTTTCATCATCCTGTCTTACTTCTACTCTGTTTCATGAAGTTGTTGCAGCACAAGTGATACCTGCCCTGAATTCTGTAGAAAAGCTGCAGACCCAGGGTCACCTCTGTTCCCTATAAATACAGCTACGTTTTAAAACAACACCAAAAAATAAGAAAACAAGGGAAACACACTTAAAAGATAGAGCTCTGTGGCTCATTCCACAGGTATTGAGACACTTGGCCAGGTACAACACTTGGACATCACCCCACTGCCCTCTTTTTGTTCTGCAATACCTTCTGCAGCAGACATGCTTTCCCTAAGTCTTACAGTGAAAACATTCTAACCAAGTGATCATCACAAAGCATACAGAAATCCAAGCCCACAGGCGTTCTATGGAGGTTAAGGATGACGTTCACAGCAGTGTTCTGGAGGTTATGTCTCCAGTGGACCTGCTACACTTTCCTGGTGCTTCCTTGTTTCGTGCTTCCTTGTCTCACCACTGCTTCAGATGAGATAAGCCCATGTCTGCTCTGACGCACCAGGATGGCCAGTGGCTCTCCCACTGGCACAACTGAGAGAGGCAGGACACTGGCAAGCACCGCCAGGGATTTCAGCCCATATTCTCCATCCTGCATATGTATTCTTGAATGCTGATGCTCCAGCTCTCAGCTGCGTGTGATGGCACCCACACCATCCATGCAGAAAGGGCTCGTTAGCCAGACTGAGTGAAGAAATCTTCCATTTATCTCTGGGAATAAAATGATCATCAGATTAATACTGACTGTGCTGATACTGCTTATATCTTCCTTCTAACCCCATCCTCATTTTGGCCCCTGCAGGACCCACCTTCAGGACCTGAAAGAAGTGACCCACAACATCCACTATGAGACCTACAGGGCCAAGCGGCTGAATGACAACGGTGGGCTGCCCCCCATGACTGTTGAGACAGAGGAAAACCACGAAAGTAATCTGTGAATGACACACACACACCCACCCCCCCGCTGTCACCCAGTGTCTCTGGATGTGACAACCCACCCCCGCTACCCTTGAGTCTACCATGGGCCCATCTCGAACCATGTGGCGCATCCTCCACGTGCATGAGAGGATGTGAGTGTGAGTGTATGTGTGTGTGCCTCCCTATGTGCTAGAGAGGGATCAAAGGTGAGGTCTTTCACCCCTGTCCTTCCCAGATTGTCCTCATTCTTGGTTTGTTTTTTGCACAGCGGACTGTCCGTCATGTTCCTTTCTCTTGTTTCTGTGTCTCAGCTTTGTGTCTTGCCTGGGGGGAATAGGGATGGGGAGGAAGGATTTCTAGGCACAGGAGGGGTTTGGAGGTGGGAGGTGTGGGTCATGCTGTGGTCCTGTTTTAATCACTTGGAGACACAGCAAGGAGAGACTCCAGGAGAGATGGTGGACCCAATGCTTGCAGTGTCTTCACGTGAGGGCAACAGAGATGGGCTCCGCAGTGGGTGGGAAGGCAGCTGGTTGGGCTGAGGGCATGGTGGCCCAGCATTTTAAAGGCCCATTTCTTACTGTGGCTTCCCAAGGGGAAATGGCAGCTTGGAAGTGGATGAGAGAAGTGACAGACTGACATATTTCATGGTTCAGAGGAAGTGACCAGTGGGAGGAGACAGATTTAGTTCTTGGGCTGTAAAATCTATTTGAGAAGCATCAAAGTGCTTGAGGAAAAGAGCTGTATTTAAAAAAAAAAAAAAAGAAAAAAGAGAAAAAGCACATGTTCCTGGTTCCTGCTGCAGAGAGCATTTGCCCTGCTCAGCACTAAGATCAAAAGCCATGCTCGTGTCACAGGCTTCTGACCCTGCGCAGATCAGACCAAGCTGTCCTGAGGTCAGTCCACCTCATCCCCATTGCAGCGATCTCTCTCCACCAGTACTGAGCTGATCCCGGATGAACCTTCCCCCCATGACACAGCCCCTCTGCTGTGGGAGCACAGGGAAGACAGTGCCATAGGGGGTTCCTGCTGGCAGCTTCCCAGAGGCAGCCCTGCTTAGCACAGGGCCTTCAGGATCTTGGAGGAGTGCAAAGAGCCATGGATTGAGAAGCTCTGGGTCTCCGTTGATGGTGGGAACACAAGAGATACCTCCACCTTCCTTGCTGAAATGTCTCCATTTGCTACTTCCGCAGCCTCAGCTTGTGCTGCTCCTCCACCCTCCGACTGCCCTCCCAGCTTCCATGGCCCCTTCTCCTGTGCTTTTGTCGTTATTCCCTTTTAGCCCTCCATAGCTTACTTCCTTACTTTCTTTCACTATCTCGCTTTCCCTCCTCTTGACCCTTTCTGTCTCTCCTTCATTTCTCCAAGAACTTGAATCTTCCTCTTCTCCAGACTGTTTCCTCCTCCTTCATCTCTCAAGCTCTCACACCTCCTCATCAATGTGTCCTGTTGAGAAGCTGTCATTTTACCTTCCCCTGGAGGGAAGGTAAAGACCCAGGAGCAGAAAGAGGCACAACTGTACTGAAGACTACATGCTTGTGTCTAGCTGGTGTCAGCTCTTTTCTGGATGTCCCTGAGCCAGGTGAAAAGTGTCAGGGCTAGCTGGGCAGATGGGAAGAGGGGAGAATGTCCCAAATTTGGCAGTGTCTGCCTGTCACCTAGCACATCACATGGTTTCCCAGGGTTGTCACCTCCAGGAGAATTGCCAGTTGCACTTCAAATGCACGTGCAGAATGCCATGGCATGGGATGGCAGCGCTGCAAGTCAGGGGAGTACAATGGGTTTGGGATAAGGTTGGGAAGGCTGGCACAGGAGGAAGAGGTCCCAGCAAGGGAACAGCAGAGGAGGACTGAAGCCAAGCCTTTGGTTGGTTGATAGAGCTGCACAGGGACCAGGGCTGGGAAGAGGGTTTTCTAAGCCTCAGCAAAACCGTCTGAGAGCATATGCCCATCTTGTGGCCTTCTCTGGTGCTGTCACTGCAAAGCGAAGGTCTCTTCACTCCTGTGTTCCCACCTGTCCACACAAACCAGACATTCTCAGCACTGCTGGGATGCAAGGGCCACACCAGCCCTTTGTGTTCCTTTCACCACCCATGGTCACGGCTCCACATACAGCCTTCCACCTGCACCAGACCTGCTTAACCTGCAGAGAACAAAAGCCCCATCACCGGTACCATGGACCCTAGAGAAACCATTTGCTGCTCCCCATCCTGCCACCTCCACTGGCCATCCACAGCCCAGCGCAGGGTCAGAGCCTCCTCCCAGCTTGTCTTCACTGGCCATGGAGACGTCCCCGGCATCACTGGCTACCAGAAGCATCTTCTCAGCCTCCTCTGCTCTGGCTGCTCCAGCCCAGCCTCTACATAATGTTTTAAACCCAGAGCACTAGGAGAGACTCTCTCAGGGCTCCTCTTCTTCGCTGCACTGAAGCACGAAGTGATGCTCCATCCTCTGGAGGAACTCTTGCCACTGGTCTGAGTAACCCTGGGCTGTGGTATGGTAATTCCTATAACTCTTGAGGCCAAACAAGGGTTATGGCAGAGATTGCCGTGCTTAATGAAAGCAAAGCAGACCCCACGCAACAGAAGGGAGAGATTTTCCTTTGCTTGTAACTGGATTGCAAGGACAAGGCTGTGTGTTTTGCTCTATAGGTTTAGGAATTTTTGTTTGTTCGCAATAAGGTGTTTTTTAAGCTCTGCTCTATAATTGCCTGCCAGATTATGGACTAATTCTAAAGGACCCATAAAAGCGCACTGAGAATAGCAAGCTCAGCTATTCCTCACTGCCACATGCTCATCTGTCAGAAGGTCTACAAATAGCAAACATAAAGAATTTCACATGTTGTGCAACAGCTGCAGATACCTTTGGGAAAAAGTCTCTGTGGATGGACCAGGTAGGAAAAGCCTGAATGGATCCCAGCTCTTGTGTAGCAACAGCTGAGCCCCAGGATGACCACAGCACGCCAGACGTTCCCCTCAGGTATCACTTGAACAATACCACAGGGGGTAGAGTCTAAATTTTATGCTGGAGATACCCACTCAGTGTGTTCAGAGGAAACTCTTCACCACCAAAGCACTCACCGGACAAATTGTGCAACGCATGGTAAATCCCAAAGGCTGGACTACTTCCACCAGGCTAAGACAGCACCGAACACCACGGCAGGTGCGGTTATACAGTGAGCAAAGGGCAAGAAGAGCAAGCAGCGCTTCATGCAGGCACCAGTATTTGTGGTTAGTCGTGAGGACAAGTTAATTACGGTTCACTACAGTCGGTGAGCGGGCGTCTGGGGAACGGCTTCCCAAGGCACGCTGCCAGCTCCTCTCCTACCGCAGCACCCGGCTTGGAAAGCAGGAAGCGGCGCTCGAACAGAGGACGGCAAAACCCGCCCTTCAGCCAGGCACTGCACC